AGATGGAGATGATAGACGGAGATTCACATTGACGGACTAGTAAAGAATGAAAAGATCGAGTAAGTTCAGTCTGTGACGAAGGGTATGCGAATGCAAATGTGCAGAAACTGCTTAATAATACAAATCAGATAAAAGGTTGAGCCATAACGATAATATAAGCCAAATGAGTTTCATGCGTAACATCACAAATGCTTTACAGTGTGACTAATAAATAACCCCGATTGTATATAATAAGTAACAATAACCGTTTGATTAGATTATCATTGTCCTAATTTGTAAATCCTGTTTATCTTATCGTCATTGCGGACCATATTAATATGTGATTTTCGAATTTATTCATTATCACGTTATCACATGAACTCTGACTGTGTCAAATACCTGTCACTAGAAATTAAGATGGCATGCTCGCTCAATGAGCATGAGCTACTGAGAAGCATTCTCTTATTGAGTCATTTGCATTTATATGCACCAAGTGTTAGATTTATTCTTTGGCCAATTTCGTGCATGAGTTGCTCCTAATATCCTTCCATACCGTTTTTGCTGGTAGGTTTATTCCTCCTCATAAACCGCTACACTTCTCATTAAAACACCAGCAGAAATTGATGCCCCAATTAATTATCCCTATTGTGAGTGAATACGGACAAATTACTTTATAGACGTTGGGACCTCGTCGCAAAATGCCAATATTGAACAGCAATTGAGAATGTGTTGCGAAAACATATCCGAGTCCGCATTACAACTGTTAAGGATGAACCCGTTGCTCTTTGCTGCGAAGAGATATGAAACCATTTCTTTAGAATGATGAATATGAATTTGGCATTAATGGAATCGTATGCTCTCAAGATGCGAACAATTATTTTTATTAAGATTTAGATCTGGATATGCTCTCTATTATTGAAATGATTAAATATTAAAAAGTTGAGCATGAAGGAACTTGATCCTTTGGCTACCGGTTTATTGATAATCCTTATGGAAATCGTCGAATTAGTCAATTTACTAATTAGCCAAATCTAAACTTGCGAAACAAATAACACCTTAACTGCAAACTATTTATGCATAATACTGGAGTGACGTCTTTTTCTTAGCCATTACTTCTTGAATACCTACGTTATTATAATGTACAAGATACTGGTTATAAACGACTGAATAATATTTACATACTTCCATCACGAACCATATCTAAATATTATACGATCAACTTACCGTCCATGAAATCTTCGTGACTCAATTCGGTGGCACCGCGTCGAAGTGCCAGCATACCAGCCTCGACACAAACGGCTTTGCATTGTGCTCCATTAAACTCATCACAGCAACGAGCAAGTTCCTCAAAGTTTACATCAGCAGAAACCGTCATCTTTCGCGAATGAATCTGAAGGATACGAGCACGTGCTTCCTCGTTGGGAAGGGGAAATTCTATTTTTCGATCTAAACGACCGGACCGCAAAAGCGCAGGATCAAGAATGTCTATTCGATTTGTGGCGGCAATCACCTGAGGGAAAAAAAAAGAGAACAAAGGAAAAGAATTTAATATAAATATGCGTCGTATATATATGTATATAGTCGCGCACCGACCTTAATTCGTTCATCACTGCTGAATCCATCAAGTTGATTTAATAACTCCAACATTGTCCGTTGAACTTCTCTGTCTCCACTCTTCTCACTGTCAAATCGTTTCGTCCCTATAGCGTCCAACTCATCGATGAAAATAATGGAAGGCGCCTTCTCTTTTGCCAGATTAAATGCATCGCGAACTAATTTCGCCCCATCACCGATAAACATCTAAATCAGAACAAATAATTAATCTCCTGAAAATTTTATAAAATGCCGTGGCTTTTCATAAGCCGCTATTAGTTCTAAAGTTGAGTCGGGATATGCATACCTGGACAAGTTGCGGTCCTGCCAACTTCAAATAAGTTGAGTTAGTCTGTGCTGCACATGCTCTTGCTAACAGAGTCTTTCCAGTTCCAGGAGGACCATACATCAATACCCCTAGAAAAAGCAAATAATGAAATTAGCATCACGTTATCACGAGATAAAATCCATTCAGAGCACGCTTACTGAACCTTTTGGTGGTTTAATTCCTAGATTTTTAAATCTCTCCGCATGCGACATTGGCAACACAATCGCTTCAACTAATTCTTCAATTTGTTTGTCTAGACCGCCAATATCTGTATAGTCTTCTGTAGGCTTTTCATCCACTTCCATTGCCTTCACTCTTGAATCGTATCTGTATTATGACAAGATGACTAAGTTAATCAGCTCGTGAAACAAATTTCCATATATGTTCACTCATGTTTAGCTCGTTATCGGCTCGCAGTGTTAATTACTTACTCTGCAGGTAAGGTGTCCAATACCAAGTAACTATCTTTGTTTACTCCAATAAGATCGGCTGGTTTTAGAGTAGCCGGATCGACGAGACCGATTAAAGGCAGGAAGATTGTCTGTAAATATAATACAGGTTAGAATAAATAACGACGTAGCAATTTTACGACCAATTAGAACATGAAATAAATAAGACTTTTAACATTCTAGTAATGTTTGAAAAAAACTTGAAAATTCAGTCTCCACCATATTTCTCAATGGATCAGTCACATCGATGGGTAAACGCGCATTTTTCAAAGACAAACATATCTGCATACCTGCCGCGTCGATGTTTTGATCACGGCACATTTGCCTTTACGATGTGCGTCTAGATCGATGTTAGCTCCATCTTCTTCTGGCTCATCATTGGGATTCATATCGAGTAGCTACACAGACAGAAATAGTTTCCAAGTCAGCAAATTGGGTTCCGGTATTGATACTATCGCCGTAATCGATTGATAAAAGCAATTCATTCATACCTCAACCACATTCCCAACAAGGTAGGGCAATTGCTTGTTAACCTTTATCTTCTCTCGATTATCCTTTATTTTCTCCCTCATATGATTCTGCTCATGAGTTAAACGCTGATATTCTGACTTAAATACCTATGCATAGCAACGAAGGAATGAATTCACGTGTACGATAGCAAGACGGAATACAACACGTATCATTGAGTATGAATGGTTAATAAACTTGGACAAATATCCAATTGATAGCTTGGCATGACTACTAATCTACTATATCATATACTGTCGATTCCGCTATCCAACAACATTTTTGATAAAGCTCTCTTGTCATCAATCCCATAAATTCAGACGTATCAATAACCTTGATCTCATTCTCTAACAACCGCGTAAGTTGATTTATCTCCTCGGTGCTCGCTTTCAGAACCTCTTGGCCCAAATCGTCTATTCCCTCTTCATTCGCTTTCTGCCAAAGGTTAACATCGTCTAGGCTCGTCATGGTAATAAAAGCAGAATGTACTTTTACACTTTCATAAAAACATTTTTAGTTATATGTTAGCTTACGCAATAATTGATTGCGTCATCATTGGTGATCTTTTAAATAAGGCCTAATATTGTATCGTCAATGAACCAGTGGTCTATTTAGCGTGCTGTCGAGTACCGTATGCAAGTGTTCTTGAGAGCCGTATGTCGACAAGATAAGGACAATGAGAGAGGAGTATAAATATTGTAGCATATAACACGCATATGTTATATACTTCCGTGTCTTAAGCGGTCATTCAGACTCGCTAAACTTCTCATGATACAGAATTAGTTTGCAATCGGAAGGCTGCTCCTTTGAATCTTGCGAAGTACTTTGATCGCAGTTTGATGGAATTCACTCATATTAGTTTCCAAATGATGAATATAATGACACTAGAGGATTGTACTGAGGTTTGAGTTTGTTATATTGTCACTCTATTTGTCAAGGAGTAGGCATATGCGAGCTTGCTTATGAATGACTAGTGAGAACAGAAATCTGATGGAGCTATGAATGAGTGTAATCGTATAACAAGCCAAGATGGAAGCAGTCGTCATTGTGCATCGTTCGTTTATCAATAAACCACATCATCATTAATACATAGAAGTTCAATATTTGATTTTATAGCCATTACTATACTGCATACATAGAAAATTCATTTCTACTTTAGATATGTTAGCCGACAAGAAAAAATGTACGTCATGGTTAGCACGCACTCTGTAATAATAAATTTACATTCTTCGTATATTGTTATTCCCATCGTACATATAAGCATAACATACTAACCGTTCAAAAATATGCAATCAAAACATCTAATCGTAATAAGACCGCACGAAAGCGATTCTCGGGTCGCCAAATATTTTCTCTCTTCTCCTGTCATCCCAACCGTCCTCATTTGCAATTTGCTCTACGGCCTTTAGAGTTTTATGCAACTGCTCCTCTAGCTCTTTCACCCTCTGATCTCTTTGTCGATCATAGTCCTCGTCGTACCTCGCAACCCCAAGAGCCGCAACTTCAGTTACCTCGACTATTCTCCAGAAACGGAAGGTAATCAAAAGACTAGCAACTTCACGCAAATTTCCAGTCAACACGATATCGAGCGTGAATGTAGTTATCACGACTATCGCATCAATTAATGACAGAAACCAGTACTCTCCCTTGCAAAAAGGGGAAAATCCGAATACAAGAAATCTGAAGATGATTTCAATTAAGAATATTGTATTTATTGAGAATGCTATCACGTTAAGTATTGCGAGGATAGTATCTTCGTCCTCCAGTGGATGGAGAAGTGTTACAATAATCGTCCCCATTACAGCCGCAAAATCAATAGCAACGAGAGCGAGAATGGTCTTACGCAGCGCACGTGAATCCAAAAAGCTGGCAAAGCCGCCTCTTGAAGAGTTGTTATTGCGAGAAGACGACTCCTCCTCCTCGACTGAAGAAATTGGAACTGCGCCGTAACTCATGGTCGTCTGAAATATAATAGTGTGTTTGCTTCCGAGTACTTTTGTCAATTGAACCCTTTTGGTTCAGGCAAAGCTCAAAAAGCAGGGAAGCGATAATCATTGCCCCACACAAAGGTAATTACGTAATCGTGACACTCCATATTAATATTGCATTGAGTATGATAATAATAATGGTAGATAATCGCTATCTTTATCTTAATCCAATCTTGTCTCGCTTCCCCCACATGGCTACTTTTTTATTCTAATGTTTATCGGTTTCGTAGCTTGTCAATAAAAGCTACATAAATATCCGAATCATGAATGATTTTAGCAAGTTAAATGTTAGGTTGGCTAAGAAAAAAATATGCGGAATTATTAATGTAACAGACGTTAATATTTGTGCATTTTAATTTGATTACTATTACAGTTTATCCCAGCTGCAACACTGGACGAATTTTCCCTATTCTAAATATATCTCAGTTGTATCCCAATTTTATAGTTATCTAACCTCATCTCTTTGTCCTTGTCTGGTTATTTGATTGGATAAGACTTTTGTATGGGTCTTGTATTAGCGGAGTTGGCACGGCTAAAGATAATTGCTTATCATCTATTAATCTTA